GGATACAGAAAATTGGCCGAACACGTCCACGAGGCAAAGGCGAGTGAGGCGCGATGGAAGGCCGTGACGGCAGGTCTGTATGAGAGAGAGCAGCTGGTGGAGGAGAAGCTGAAGGAGGTGGCAAAGGAGCTGCTCGCGCTGCGGGCAGAGCATGGTCGGCTGAAGAACGAGTACGATGTGGCTGTGGAGAATGTCTCGCTGCTGGCGCAGGAGAGAGACGAGGCGCTGAGGACCATCGCCGAGCAAAAGGCAGAGATCGACGCTCTCAAGACGCGCTCGCTCGTCCAATCGCTCCGGCCGGATCCGGCAACACTCAAGGCGCGGAGAAAGACTCTGGCCGCAAGGAGAAAGACCGGCGCCGTGGCGTCGCGCAAGGGAGTTGCAAAAAGCCGCCAGCGGCCCACCACCGCAACGTCGGCCGGTGACGCCGACGACGGCGATGGATCGGATGTCGCGCCCGACCACGCCGCACTTGCTGCGGCCAAGACCGAGCGCCGGAAAGAGCGCGAGCGCGAGCGCGAGGACCGCCGCGCTGCAGGTGTACAGCCTCCGGCCACAGCCACTGTCGCGACTGGCGAGCGGGCCGGGGCGTACCGCCCCACCGGTTCGGGCCTCGAGCTGATGGCACTCTCGCCGGCTGCCAACTACCGACTGGACAAGGCGTTCAAGACCGGATGGCTCCGCAAGCGCGGCGGAAAGACGTTCACCCCGTTCCGTCGGCGCTTCTTTGTCTGCCGCGACGCGTACGTCTTCTACTACAAGTCCGAGTCGGACATTGCTCCCACAGGGTACATTCCGCTCGACGGCTGCGCCCTGGTAGCCAAGGCTGCCTCGGCCGGGCACTACCCGTTTGACATTGTCCACGCCACCCGGCGCAACTTTGTTCTCGAGGCTGCGTCAGAGTCGGAGCGCGAGGACTGGATGATGGTTCTCTCCAACCGCATCGTCGCCGTCGCCGCCGAGCTCGAATACGAGCGGGTTGTCGAGGAGCATCGAGTGGCGGCAACGTCGCCGAGCGGCGAGTACGCGAACCATCCAGGGCTCACCCAGCTTCAGCGCCCGCGCAAGGCCTCCATTGCCGCCCACGTCGTCACGCCCGCCATGCGCCGCGCTATCTCGGAGCAGTCGCGGCGGCTGACCGAGCGCCGGATGTCGGCAACAGCCGCGGCGTCGACTGCTGCCGCGGCGTCCGCCACCGCCGCTGCCGCCACAGGCGCGGGTACCACCGCCGCCGTCGCACCTTCGCGCCATACGCTCGGCACCCTCAACACCATGGTCGCCAACTGGCAGTCCAAATCGCATTTGGGCGGCGGGACGGTCCACGAGCGTGCGCTCGCCCAGGCCGCCTCCGAGTTTGCGTATCTGTTGGAGGAGTCGGCCAAGCTGCGCGGGCACGGGGATGCCGCCGCCGCCGACCGCATCGACGCCATCCGTGACGGCCTAGTCGTCGACTACGCGTCGTCGGCATTCCCACCGCCGGCTCCGGTAAGCTAAGTCGTGTGGCGTTTACTCGGCCCCGCCACTATTGTTCTTGACAGAAAACAGTGAGGCGACGCCTGGGCCGCCGGCGCCGTCGGCTGCAAGCATGGACCGGATCTGGCCCGGCAAGCCGCCGGCGGAGATCTGAAGGTCGGTGGGGAGGAGGGCGACATTGTTGCCGAGAGCGGCAAACATGCGGGCCTGGCCTGCGGCGTAGGCCTCGATGAGGGCGAGCTGGACAGCGAGCGGGTTCTCGGACGCCTCGCCCTGCGCTGCGGCGACCGAGCGGATCTTCTCCACCTCGGCCATAGTGGCGGCGCGCTTGGCGTTGGCATCGGCGTTGGCCTGGACTTGGATGGCGGCAGCCTCGCCCTCGGCCTGCAGCAGCGCTGTCTGGTTCCGCTGCTCGACGTTGAGCCGCTCGGCGGAGATCTGGATGGAGACCTCGGCCTGCTGCTCGACGGCGCGCTTCATGTTGGCGTCGGCAAAGTCGATCGACTCGACCCGCATGCGGGTGAGGGCCACGCCGCGCTCCTGGGCAAAGTCACGGATGCCGAGCTGAAAGGCCGAGCGGACGACGTCGGCAAACGACTCAGCCTGCTCGTACGTCGGGAGCGCGTCGTCGCTGCCGGCCGAGGAGGCCAAGGGCGCCGTGTGCGCCTTGCTCGTCCTGTGCCCGGCACCTGGCCCGGCATGCGCCGTCGGATCGGCGATGCCCTGCGAGATCTCGTTAGAGTCGTGGGCGCCAAAAACAGCGAGCAGGGTAGCCTCGGCCTCACGGTGGAGCTCGTCCTCGATGTCGACAACCTCGACAAAGGCGCGCTTGGGGTCGACGACCTTGTAGAGGACAAAGGCCTTGACGTCAAAAGCGACGCGGTTGCGCGAGTACACATGGCAGCGCAGATCGAGGCGCTTCTCCTGGATGGAGCGGATGTCTGAGAGCGTCCACAGCTCATCGTCCAGGATGTGGTGACCCTCGTGGAGGATGCGGAGCGCCGAGCGGTGCGGCGCGCCCGACGCCGCCGCGGCCTCGGACGCCTTGGCACCCCCGGTCCGCCCGTCGTAGGTGATGGCCACAAAGCCTGGCGGGATGTTGACAATGTCAAAGGCGCCGAGCGAGATGTGGCGCTCCCACTTGCGGTGGATGTGTCCGCCAAACTGCTCCGGCCGCTGAATAACGTGGACGCCCGGCTGGAGGAGGAGCTCGGTTCGCCCGTCGGCGGTAAACTTGTAGCTCACCTCGCCCTGCTTGAGGTTGAGCCTCACCACCGAGCCAAACTCGAGAATAGACGTGTTGACATCGTACAGGTCGCGGTCAAAGAAGGCCGGCCGGCGGAGGGTGTACGTGCCAGGCGCGTCGTAGAACCGCGTCTCGCCGTCCTCCGACTGGTAGAAGATGATCTTGCCGGCCTGGAGGCGGACGCGCTCAAAGGTCCCGTGCTCGATTCGCGGCTCGTTGACCGAGTGGATGCCGAGGAGCTCCTCAGGCGCACGGAGGACGTAGCGGCCTTGTTGAGGACGTCGACGTCGCCGGTGGCTGTCCGCATGCACGCGAGCTGGCCCGACTGAACCCGGACAATGGTGACCGAACCCTCGCGGAGAACGTCGTCGTTGATGTTGTGCACGTTGCCGACAAAGGTACTCGGCGCGCGGAGCTCGTACGTACCTGGCGAGTCGAGGAACTGCGTCTCGCCGGCGGCGTCGAGGTAGAACACAACCTGACCGGAGAGCAGCCGCAGCCGCTCGTAGCCCTCGACGTTGATCCGTGGCTCCATGGTGGAGAAGACGCCGAGCAGCATCTCGGGTGAGCGCAAGAGCAGCCGGCACACGTCCTTGACCACCACCACGTGGCCGTCGACGTCGCGGACAACCGCAAACTGGCCGGCTTGGATCCGAATGAGCGAGACTGAGTCCTGCTGGATGCTCTCGCGGTCGAGCGACTCGGAACCGAGGTACGAGATGTACGGCGAGGAGAGCACAAACTGGGTGCCTGGCGAGAGGACGTACACCTGGTTCTTGAACGAGCAGAACCCGATGCGTCCGGGCGGGACCGTCACGATCTTGGTGTTGCCCAGCTCGACAGCCTCTTGCCCGTCAAGCCGCTGCGGTGGATGGAGCGTCCGCGTTGGCCCAGCAAAGTAGTACAGGCCCGGCCGCGAGATGACGTACTGATCCGAGCCGTCCTGGAGCCAGGTGACCTCACCGGGGTTCACCCGTGTGTTTGCTGCCCGGTAGTAGGCGTAGCCAATGCCTGTTGCCTTGAGCAAGCCCATGCCGATCTTTCCGGTCGCCGACGACGGCAGCGGCGGGAACGGATGGTGGGCAATGTCGCCGACCACAGCCTCGATGACGCCACCGGGTAGTTCGGGCGGCGCCACCGTGTTGGCCAGCGTTCGGTAGAAAGTGTGCTGCACCAGCCGGACGTTATCGCTGCCATCATCGGCAAACATGCCCGAGACAGCCATCACGCCTGCCCCCGATCGGCCAGCCGATCGGCCAGCTGCCGCTGACCCCCGCGCCTGTCGCCGCTGATCGACCGACGAGTGGTCGCCGTTGATGGAGGTGCTACCGACGAGCGAGTGGCGACCAGCCGTTGCGCCGGCAGGCATGGCATGGGCAAGATCATGGTCATGGTCATGGCGGTGACGAGTCGAGGGAGACGACGACGAGCCGACAGAGGTAAAGGCATCGGTGGTGACGTCGAGGAGGAGCGAGTCGCGTTCTCCGCCAGAGGCCCGAGGATCCCGAGATGGGTCTGTTGCCGGATATGTCGCCATGGAATACGGTGGGGAGGGGTGGGGGAGGGGGAGGGGAGAGGGAGGGGGAGGGGTGGATGGTGTGGTCGTGGCAAGAGTGCACGCGGTGTGGCGCACTGGTTGGAAGCGGCCGTTTTTGGAGTGGCTTTCTTCAGGTGTCCGGTACGAGTCGCATGTGCGAGTATGGCACACAGTCACGGTTCCGACCATCACGGCTACTGGGAGGGGGGGGTTGATGGTGATGGAGTTTGTTTGAGGATGAAGAAAGCAAGGAGATGAAGGGGAAAGAGAGGTGCTGCACAATGCCACACAAACCGATGGATGGCACCCAGCTCAGGGGGCACTCGAGTCTGGGCTTAGGTGTAGGCGAGCTGAGCCTCAAGGCCTTCGCGGTTCTCGTGGAACGAGGTGACGAGGGTGTCGTGCAGGGCACGCATCTCGGCCGAGACGAGCTTCTCGTGGACGCCGAGGCCGCGGCCGACAATGTCGGACTGGAGGCGGATCTGGTCGCGGAGCTGCTCGACCTTGTCCTTGTCCTGCGGGTTCTCGGCGATGTAGTTCTTGGTGATAAAGTAGTCCGAGAACATCGAGGTGCCGCCGTTGACAAAGGCGAGGATGATGCCGTTGAGGGCCATGGTGAGCGGCGAGAGGTTGAGTGAAGCGCCTGCGGCGGCATAGGTGTCGATCATGGCGGCGACTTCCGCATTCTTGTCGACAAGCGACTCGACGGCGCCGTCGAGCGGCGAGACCTCCTCGTCGTTGCGGTCGACGACGACGGCGCGGGTGAGGACGCCTGGGAACGAGCCATCGATGGAGACGGTGGTGCGAATCTGCCACAGGGTGGCAAACTCGTTGCTCTTGTCCTTGACCACACCGGGCTTCTTCCACGGGCGCGAGGAGCGGAAGGTGCGGACGTAGGCCTGCTTAAAGTACTCGGCCTGGGCCTTGGGCATCTCGATGCCCGGATAGGGCGCGGCGGGGACGGTGGCCGGGTCGACGACCGGGTCGACCTTTGCGATCTGGATGAACAGGCCGTCCTGCTCAAAGTACTCGGAGCGCTCGGCCTTGTTGGGAGGAAGGTTGCGGCTGGGAAGCGTGTGCGGAGCTGGTTCTGAACGTCGGACATCTGCTCGAGCGGCTTGCCGCGGAGGATGAACTCCTTGTTGCGGATCGAGGGCGCAAAGCTGCGGCCAAAGTAGCCGATGCGGTAGTAGGCGGTCTCGAAGCGCTCCTCGGTGGCCACCTTGGAGAGGATGGCGGCCTTGGCCTGCAGAGCGGCGGCAGCCTCGGCGTAGGCCATGGCGCCCTCGAGCTCTGCGGCGAGGGTCGAGTAGACGCGGACGGCCTCCTCGTAGACCTTGCCCTTGTCGAGGTTGACGGCGGCCTTTTGGAGGACGGCGCGCTTGCGCTCGTACATGGTCTGCTCCGGGAAGGCGGGCGAGAGGTAGGGCACGATCTCGGGCGACCACTCCAGCTTGTCGGCGTACATAAGGAGGGCGTAGCCGGCCTCGGCAAAGGTGCCGCCGGCCTCGTGCAGCTCGACGAGGTGGAGGACCTGGCGGACGTAGGCCTCGAGGCGGCCGATGGAGAGCAGGTACGAGGTGAGCTCGAGAATGGCGGCGATGCGGTCCTGGTCAAAGAGCGGGTCGTCGGGCAGCTGCTGGAGCTCGAGGGTGAGGGCGACGAGGCGGCCGAGGTTCGACTTGGTCTCCTCCATCTTGGTCTTGAAGCCCTCGTCGGTGAGCGAGGCGATGTAGGCATCGAGGGCGCCGAGGAAGCGCGAGCCAAACTCTTCGTCGGCGCGCTCGGCGTCGTAGCGGTCAAAGATCTCGACCTCAACGCGGAGGAGCGACTTTGCCGACGCGTACTCCCACTTGAAGACCCAGCAGAGGATGTCGACGGCCGAGGCCGTGGCGGCCTCGCACGAGAGCATCATGACGGCGAGCAGGTCGCCGATGATGCTCGGAATGAGGGCGCCGACGCGGGCGTCGCCGAGCTTGGTCCACAGCTCGACAAGCATCGAGGCGCCGCGGGCACGGAGGTCACCCCAGCGGCAGAGGACGCGCTTGCGGGTGGCGGCGCCGAGGTGCTCGACCTGGATGGCCGGCGAGGTGACGACGCGGGCGAGGAGCGAAAAGTAGGCGGGGAGGAGGCCCGAGTCGGGCGTGGCGTCGGCGACGACAAGGTCCATGATGAGGCCGGCGATGGCGAGGCAAATGTCGGCCTTGATGACGTTAAAGGTGAGCCACTGGGCCGGGTACACCTGCTTCTCGGCAAACTGGGTGACAAAGGTCACGATGGTCTGCAGCAGGTGGAGCTTGGCGGTGACCGAGCCGAGCGAGGCGTAGTACTCGAGCAAGTTCTCGACCTTGAGCAGCTTGTACAGGGCCATGCCCGAGGTGACGAGCTGCGACGAGGTAAAGCCGATGCTGTCCTCCTGGAGGAGCGAGGAGAGGGCGTCGGTGAGAGGGCGGAAGAAGATCATGAGCTCAGACATGAGGACGCGGCGCTGCTCGTCATCGAGGGTGCCGACCTGGTCGCAGATGGAGCCGATGGCGCCGATGGCGGCGACGCGCGGGTCAAAGGACTCGTCGTCGTACTTGCGCTCCTCGCCGGCGACCGGCTCGAGGAGGGCGAGCATTTCGGTGGTGATGAGCGGGAGGATGGTCTCACGCGAGCCCGGATGGACGACAAGCTCGGAGCGGGCGAGCGAGCGGATAAACTTGATCTTCTCGGTGTAGAGCTTCGAGGCGTTGTCAGTCTTGACGGCACCGAGGAACTGGGCGACAAAGGCGGCGACCTCGCCGTACTCGAACATGCGGGTGAGCTCGATAAAGAGGGTGGAGAACTTGCGGAGGGCGAGGGTCTGGATGCCAAGCAGGACGCGGTCGTCCATCTCCATGAGGGCGTTGAAGGAGGAGAGGAGCTCGGACATCGAGTTGACAAACTGCGGCTCGCGCGAGGTGGTCTGGTACGCGTCGTTGTAGAGGAGGCGCGAGCGGATGATGAGGCGGAAGATGTACTCGACAGCCTTGATGGAGGCCTGGACCTGCTTGCGGAACTGCTTGGGCGAGTCGACGTACTGCTTGAGCGAGGCGATGAGATACTGGTGGGCCATGACACCGCGGTAGTGCTGCTCGATGTAGACGTCGATGACCTTGCGGAACTCTGCGCCGGCGGCACGGTCCTCGGTCATGATGCCGATGATAAAGACGAGGGCGTCGTAGACAGCCTTACTCACGCCAGGCTTCTTCTCGAGGAGCTCAAAGAGCACGTCGTAGATGTCCTGGAAGAAGAGCACAATCTCGCCCTTGGAGAGGTAGAGGAAGCGGTCGAGAATTTCCGAGAGCTTGCGCTCGTCGTGCGAGATGGTGTGCCACATGAGGAGCGAGTTGAGCGAGGTGTTCTGGGTGAGGAGCGTCGAGGTGAGCTGGATGGAGACGGTAATGGTCTCCTGCTTGCGCGGCACGAGCTTCTTGGGGTCGGTCTCGGTGAGGTAGTAGGTGGGCGAGAGCTTGCCGGCGTCCTTGGGCGGCTTGTAGACGTTAAGCGAGAAGACCTCGTTGGCGACAAAGGCGCCGTCGGCGGTAGTGAGCGGGAGGAAGGCAAAGCCGACTTCTTTGTCGGTGTTGTCCGAGGTGGTGCACTGGACGAGCGAGAAGCGCAGGTGGGCGACCTTGGCGAGCGAGGGCTCGATGTTGAGGCAGAACTTCTCGGCCCACCGCGGCTTGGTCTCGTGGTAGCAGACGCAGCTCTCAAAGGTGGAGAGCGACTCGGGCTTGCCGTTGATGGTGAGGCAGCCGTCGACGTTGCGGCCGTCGGGATTGACGACGTTGACGACGACCATGCAGTTGCGGAGGTCTTTGGAGAGCTCGGCCCCGTGGAGGGTGACGTACAGGTCGTTGCGCGACTCGCCGGGGAGGATGACGTCGGGGAAGGAGAGCTTGGAGATGAGCGAGACGTTGGCGTAGCCCTTGGCGGCGTAGCTCTCGGGCGTGTAGGCGCCGTTGAGGATCTGCAGCTCGACGGCGACGCCGACCGACTGAGGGACAACCTGGGCAATGCCGGTGCCAAACAGCATGTGGGTGAGGAGGTCCGGGTCCATGTTCGGCTTGGCCGGCGTCTGGTAGATGGAGAACATGTGCTCCTCGGCGGAGCGCTTGGTAGCGAGCGACTTAAAGTCGAGCGGGAGCATGGCAATGCCAAAGAGGCGGCGGAACTGCTTGGTCGTCCGCTGCTTCGAGTCGTCGGCCTGCATCTTGCCCTTACGGACGACGCGGCAAACGAGGTAGAGCTCGCGGGCGAGGTCCTCCTCGTTGAGGTCGGAAAACGCAAAGCGGATGTTGCCAATGTCGTCAACGTTGAACGGCATGCCCTGGTGGGTGAGCCGGAGCTGGAACTCGTCGGTGATGGTCTCGTACGGCGAGCTCTCGTCGGGGCCCTTGGCGATGACGGAAAAGTGAAGGTGGGCCTCCTCACCGGCCGAGTTGTTGCCGAGCGGACAGACAAACGACTTCCAGCCGACGAGCAGCTGGACAAGGCCTGACGCATCCTCCTCGTCGTCGTCGCCGCCGGCGGCGCGGGTCGTCTGCGCCTCGGCCGAGACCTTGGCCAACTCGACCGAGGCCTCGGGCGTGAGCCCGGCGTACGACCAGTAGAGCTTGACGAGGCCGGTGTTGGTGTCGTCGGCCATGATGCCGTTGTTCGTCAACGCGAGCGTGTTCATGTTGAGCGAGGTCCGCGACTCGTTGACGGTCGCCACCGCGGCGCGCTTGGCCTTGGTCACCTTGTCGATGGAGCCGCGGGCGGAGAAGGCGAGGATGCGCGAGCGGGCCTCGCGGAGAGTGTGGAACTGGGCGCACAGGTTGTTGAACAGCGGCATCTGACCGGCTTTGTAGTGGTCGACGGCGAGCTCCTTGATCTCCTCCATCTGCGCCACGAGCTCGTCCAGAATCGGCTGGTCGTCCGGCCGTGTCTCGTGGATGTGGACCCGGTTCGACGGCCAGATGCCGATGGCGCCGGTGGCGAGGACCACTCCGCGCTGCCAGGCAAAGATCTCCTCGACAACCAGGACGGCCTGACCGACGACGAGGGCCACCTCGTGGTTGCCGGCCGGTGTAAAGTCGCACAGCGCCACGCCGCGCTTGGGCACCTCGCACTTTTGCCACTCGGTCCGCGACAGCGTCGGGCCCTTCTTGAGGACGGCGGCGGCGGCGGCGACAGGCGCCGCGCCGGGCTTGCCGCCAGGCGTCGGCTTGCCGGGCTTGCCGGGCTTGGCCGGCTTGCCGGGCTTGCCGCCGTGGGCCAGCGCAAGGGCATGCGCCTGCTGCGCCGCCGCCACCTGCGCCTCGGCCTCGGCCTTGGCCTGCGCCTGCGCCGCCGCCTGCGCCTCGGCCTGTGCCTTGGCTTGCGCCTGCGCCGCTGCGATCGACTCGCGCAGCGCCGAGCGCTTCGCCTCCTTGGCCCGCAGCGCGTTGGCCTTTTCCTGCTCGGCCGCCGCTTGGCGGGCAGCCTCCTCTTGGGCAGCCACCTGGGTGGCGGTCGGCGGAGTGCCTGCCGCTGCAGTACCCGCCGCACCCGCAGTTGGCGAAGCAGCAGCCACCGGAGTCGGCGACGAGGCCGCAGCCGTCGGCGAGGCAATGCCCGCGGCGGCGGCCACCTGCTTGAGGTGGGCAATGGCCTTTTGGATCTGGGCGATAAAGGCGTCAGCCTCCTCGGGCGAGCCAAAGGTCAGGCCACAGAGCTTGCGATTCGCCGACGACGACCACTGAACAAACTTGGGGCTTGCCTTCTTGAGAGCCATGTCATGGGTGACGTAGCTGTTGAGGACGACCTTCTGCGAGCCGTCGTCCGACGCATAGTAGCCAATGAGCCGGTACGTCGTCTTCTCCGTGTTGTAGTAAAGCCCAATAGCAGCCATAGCATTACCCACACGCGACCATGTCTTGGCCGGTGGCTGGACGAAGAACACAAACGCCCGCGCAGAGGCCACAGGACGTTCGCTGGGGTGGGGGGGTCGGGGGGGGCGGGGGGGGGTGGGGGGGGGTAGGGTAGGGGTGGGGGTA